AATGCCGAGCCCACGAAGGAGCCCATCGTTGATGAGGATGATGATGTGGCTGAAGAAAGACAAAGAATTATTAGTGGAGGAAGTAAAACTGATATCTTGAGTCTAAATGAACTAACCAAGGTAAGGGAATAGGTGTAGGGAGTTAGTTGGAGGTGCCAGTTGGACCCAGAGAGGATACGATGTTGTAATTTTGCCTTCTTTAGACTAAGCAATATGCTTATACAAGCAATTCATTTTTCTAATTTTATGTGGGTTTGTCGTTTTTGTACTTAATGTGTCTTCCAAGAATCTTGAATTCCAATGTATTTTCCCTAGCATTCCACCTGGGTACTGACAAAGGGCCTCAGCCAGAAGCACTACTACCAAACCTCATTAATCTTTCTCTGGTCCATTTCTGCACAGTGGGTCAGCTTCGAGATTTCTCACTCCTTACAGCACCTCCCTGGATGTCCATGTTAATCTCTAACCCCTTCGTATTGGCAGTTTTTGCCTAAACCATCCTTTGCTCTCTCTTGCCCTCCCTGCTCTCACTCTCTCTCGGTCTTCAGTTTAGTTTCTCTGATCCCGCAGATCTATTCAGGCACCTCCAGCCCAGCGGTGGACAGGCTGTGTGTGGGAGTTCGTCCTGGAGAGGTGGGTACTCTGCAGATCACATTTAAACGAGCTTTAGACAATCTGCTCCTGTGCACTTCTCTTCTCCCTTTTAAAGCTGAGCTATCAAATGGAAATAAAATGCAAGGAACCACGGGTCATTTTAAATTTTCTAGTAGCCACATGAAAAAGGTAAAAATAGGTGCAATTAATCTTAATCACTTATTTTATCCAACGTATCTGAAATACTATCACTTCAAAATGTAATTCATATAAAACATTATTAATAAGATAGTTTGTGTTCTTTTGTTGTGTTTTGTTCTAAATCTTCAAAATCCAGTATGCGTTTTACATTTACAGCACATGTCAATCAGACTAGATGCATTTTAAGTGCTCAGTGCTGCTGTTGGGGAGGAAAAATTTCTTTCCTACTACCCTCCTAGGTTTTCAGGCTCTATAAATTGTTGACAAGACAGATTGACAAGAGAAAAACAAAGAGAAGTTTGTTAGCATGTGCATCGCACATACATGAGGAGACAAATGACTCAAAGTGTTGATTAGAACTTGCATCTTATATAGCATCTTAGCAAAGGAACAATGTATTTTTAGAGAGGTGTCGAGATGAAAGAAAGTGACTTTGAGTTTCTAAGGTGGCAAGTTGTAGGGAGGCAAATAGATGGGAAAGTAATGGTAAATAAAAGCTAGCTAGGAAAATTGGTTATGCAGATTCCTCTGGTGCAGTCTCCAGGCTGATAAGGGTCTAAAGTTGTCTCCAGTGGTTAACTTCTGTCTTTCCTGGTAGGCAGAGGAGGAGGAACACCTTCTAAGTTTATGTCCTGCTCTTAGGCAAATAGGGGGAGGGCAAAGAGCTTTTCTTATATTTGCTTCTTCTCAGTTGCTTTCAGCTCAAAATTATGCTTATGCCAAAGTGGCATATTTGCCATGGCATATTCTGCTGCCCTGTGCCACATGGGGCTAATGGCCTCCGTAATGGCAGCACAGATCTAAAATGCTTTCCCCGCACCTACACACTTGCCTTAGGACCTGACACTCCAGATTCTCTTGAGCTCTAAAGTAGGGGCAATTCTTTGTGTTTCCCCTCAGTGCTTTGGCCTCCTGGGAGTTAACGGAGCTGGCAAAACAACCACTTTCAAGATGCTCACTGGGGACACCACAGTAACATCAGGTGATGCCACTGTAGCAGGCAAGAGGTGAGTGCCTTGCTCATCCTGGCTCAGGGTGTCTCTCACGGGTCCTGGGCCATGTCCCTGTCCTGGCATAGGGAGGAGGGAGCATCAGAACCTGTATTTGAGGGCGACTCTGTGTGCCTGAAAGCTCTATGCAGAGGGGTGGACCTCACGGTGAATACGATCCAAAAAGTCCAAGATATAGACCCTCTGGAAAATTGAACTGAATTGTAATTATTAGGAAATTCCTCTGTTAGCATGGATTCTCAGAAAGTTCTGGGAAGCACTGCATCAGTAGTTCTTACTTTTTGGGGGTCATGGACTCCTTTGAACATCTGATAAACACCTGTACCTTCTTCCTATAAATACATACCATTGTCTCCCATTACCTGCCTGCACACATTCAGGGAATTTACTGAGCCTTGAAGCACATTTGTGACCCTGCAGGTTAAGAATCCCTGTGGTAAAGCATCCTTTCTCTGGCTTGAGTTTCTAGGTCGGGGCAGGTTCAAGGGCTATTGGAAGCCGTAATCACCATTGGTTATTTCTGTGCTAATGCTTGGCTTAGCCAGGTCAAGGAGCCTTTGTAAAGGGGAAATTGCCCATGCCCTTGGATTCCAGGGGGTGCTTGCTACTCTCTGTAATAAGATGCGAGTAAACAGACTGGTTCTCTATGGGCACATAGAGATGGAGAACTTGTTTGCCTCAATCCATTCGCTGCTTTTTGAACAGCAGAGCTCACATACATTTGTTGTGCCCAGAGGAACCCTGGTTTATAAGTGGAATTAGGTGCTGCTCATGTCAGCCCAGCATCAGCCTGACTGCGACCTCCTTCCTTTACCTGAGAGCCATCCCCAACATGGCCCAATGCCCGCTCGGCACTGAGAGTCCTGAGCATGGTTCAGTGGATCAGACAAAATTAATTTAGTTTCCCTGCCTTCCCCAGCCACCCTGTTGGGTCTAGAGCAAAAGGATTGGCAGAGGTAGAGCCAGGCCGTGGCTAGTTTTATCTTATCTGTAGATCCGGCTTAGCTGGCAAGCCAGCAAATGACTTCACAGTGGTAACAAAAGGCATCTTGGGGGCATGGGGTGGAGGGCAGAGGGATGTAATAGGATTTGCCATGAGACAGCAAGTTACAGTCCCATTAAGACACAGTCTGATGCCCAGAAGTTAAAACCAAGATGGAAGCTAGAAAGAAACTATAGTTTTAAGACACAGGGCTGGGGTTCTCTGGTTTGGTAGCTCCTGTGAATTTGGGAAAGTACCCTCCTAGTTCCCTGAGTGGTTTTAATTGGCCCAGCCATAACTGAAGTTGTTTTTGTCATAATGGGGAACTATATGGCCTCTTTTTGTCCCATCCTTTATTCATAGACTCTAAGCTATAAAGTAAGGGGAGAAGAGATTAGACCTGTCTATGGGCAGTCTATTTTTTCATCACGGCGATGTATTTTCTAATGAGGGAGAACATATTAGTCAAAGGGAGTTGATAGAACCCAGTTTGCTTCATCTCTTCTCCCTGCCAGCCTTTTGCTCTGGGTGGTGATCCATTTGCTTCCTCTTTCATTGACTATATCTCTGCTAATAAATACAAATGGGGAAATTGACTTTCACTGGGAGGCATGTATATTCACTAGCTCCTTCCCAAATGTCTTCTCAAAAAGGATCAAAAACACCAGTCAATTTCTTAAACCTGTTTCCCTTTGTTTTTAAACTGACACTTGAGGTGCTCCAATCTAAAACCAAAGCTAACTTGGGTAACGGGTATTCAATTTATCCTGGACAGAGAAACTTGGGAGGATCTGACTGGACTCAAAGCTCAGAACTCCTGAAGTTTATCATTTTCTAACCAAAGGGCCCCTGCTTTGATTCCTCAGTGTTGTGCACATTTCTGAAGCAAAGTGGGAGAAGAGAAGAGGCAGCCTCTTTATCCTATTGGCAGAAGCAACTCGAGCTTCAGCTCTCTAGTTACCCCTCTATGAAGAAAACTTGCTAATTGCTTTTTCTTGTTGCAGTATTTTAACCAATATTTCTGAAGTTCATCAAAGTATGGGCTACTGTCCTCAATTTGATGCAATTGATGACCTGCTCACGGGGCGAGAACATCTTTACCTTTATGCCCGGCTTCGAGGTGTACCAGCAGAGGAAATCGAGAGGGTAAAAAATGGTTTGTTGTAACCTCTCAGGAATTTGGTAAACCATAAGGATATTTCATGAGAGTGCAATTTTTTTAGAGATGGGAAAGCTGTAGAATGCTACCCATCCATTCATTCAACAAATGCTTACTGAGGTATCTACTGTGTGCCAAGTACTGTTCTAGAAGACAGGGGTAAAGCAATGAACAAAACAGTCAAAAATATCCCTGTCCTCATATCTAACAAAACAATGTATGTCTTTGTCCTTCCACTCAGCAATCTCACTTCCGAGAATTTACCTTGAAGATATGCCTCCCACAATACTAAATGCATATGTACAAAGTTATTCATTGCATTTATATTTGCAAAATATTGGCAATTACCTAAATGTGAAAACATAAGATGTTGGTTGAATAACTTATGGTACATACATACAATAAAGTCTTGTGCAGCTGTAAAAAAAAAAAAAAAGAAAGAAAAAGGAAAAAGAACAAGAAAAATCTCTGTGAACTGATATGGAGCTATTTTCAAGAGGTTTTTCTTTTAGTTAAAAAAGCAAAGTGTTAAAAAACACATGCGTAATGCTTTTCATGTAAGAAACTTGGAAAAATAAGAAAGCATACGTATGTTTGCTTATCTTTACAAATAGAAAAGATAAACCAGAAAACAATGAATTTGATCACCAACAAGAGGGAAACTGGGTGAAAGGGTGAAGGAAATTAAGAAGTACAAATTGGCAGTTATAAAATAGTCATAGGGAGTAAAGTATAGTCGATAAATTGTAATAACTATGGGAGGGAATAACATTTCTATGAGGATATCTTTTTGTACAGTTTTGACTTTTGGAAGCATGTTAATGTTCTACATATTCAAAAAATAAAACTAAATAAGAATGGGAAGGGGGTAAAATGAAAACAAAAAGAAAATCCTAACACTGAAAGCAAACTGAAACAAATTAATCCAAGTTTATTTCAAATAAATATTATTATCATACATAAAGGGAGAAAAAGAACTAATACAAATAACTGAAGACACAGTACTTGATTGTATATCCTCAGTCTTAAGCAAGTGAAGCAGAGGGAAGGAATTACAAATTCTGAGCTCTTTTAGGCCTATTTATTTTTTTATAGCGTCATGGGCAAAGCATCTGAAACTATTTTAGATGTGTTATAGGATTAAGTAAATGAATAAACGCGTTAATATTGTTAGAAGCCAGAGTTCTCATTGTGGAAGAAGGGACATACCAATATGGAAAGGAGGAAAGCAAGAAAGAACCCTATGGGGATGGATTGGAATTGGAAATGCCACTGTAAACTCACAAAATATTTATATGCATGAGTTTTTTCATCCATGCATATGAGCTCCTGTATATTTCATGTATGCATGTACATGTATATATGTGTGTATGTTTCTGTATGTGTATAACTGTCCTCTAAAAGGGCTAAGCAAAAAAAATTCCCCAGTAACAATGAGCACACTTAGTGCACAGATTTTGGTATCCCATACCATTCCCCACTAAAAGGGACTATGACTCCTCAAACAAATGACAAATTCCAGAGCTGGGACAGCATAGGTATTAAATAAGCCTGGAACATCATATTATGCCAGAAAGGAAAGAACTGCTTAGAAAAAAAGTAGAGGCTTGTCACAAGTACACAGATGCCATCTTGAAGGGGCTCCCCATGGCCATACGTGGGACGATTTGAACATCAAAATAATTAAATACCATGATAAATTATAAAGCACCGGGTGAAATAGGAATTCATAAGTCGATTCCATTAAATAGATAAATTCATAAACAAGAGAGAAGGGAGGGTTCTTGCTTACACTCAAATACTGAGAGAGACAATTGGTTATGTGGAAGAAGTTATAGAGTTGGAAAATCATTTTGCAGTGATCATAGTAAAAATTGAATTGCACAAAAATCATCAATGCTTGCTAAATTTGGGGGGAAATTTTTATAAGAAGCAAGGTATTTGTGTGGTTTAAAAATATCTCCCACAGATTGCTTACTGGTTGTGAAGGGGAAGCATTCTTCTTTTACAATGGAGAAATTAGACAACACCTTAACTGGGTGGACAAAATTGACATGACCAAGAGGCAAATTGAGATCTCATGCCCCTGGATGCAGTACTCTGAGAAGAACACAACTTCACTGTGTAATATTCTGGTTGGGAATGCCTAAACCCAAATCTTATCATAAGGAAACATCAGATAAACTCTAAGTTAACTCATACATAAAAAACAAAGAAGAAATCTTACCATTTGTGATAATATAGATGGACATAAAGGGTATTGTGCTAAGTGAAATAAGTCAGAGAGAGAAAGACAAATATCATATGATTTTACTAATATGTGGAATCTAAAGACTAAAATAAATGAACAAAAAGTAGAAACAGATTCATAAATGTGGAGAACAAACTGATGGTTATCAGATGAGGTTGGGAAGGTGGGTGAAGAAGGTGAAGGAAATTAAGAAGTACAAATTGGCAGTTATAAAATAGTCATAGGGAGTAAAGTATAGTCGATAAATTGTAATAACTATGGTGCCAAGTGGGTACTAAACTTATCAGAGGGATTACTTTGTAAATTATATAAATGTCTAACCACTATGCTGTACACCTGAAACTAATATAAAATAATATTGAATGTCAACTGTAATTGAAAAAGAAAAAAAAGAAAAAACTCTAAAGGAACATTCTATTTAAAAAATACAGGGGCTATATTCTTCAATAGAATCAAGGTCATAAAAGACAAAGAAAGACAAAGAAAGGCAAAGTCTATGGAAATGTTCCTGATCACAGGGGCTAGATAGACACAGTGACTGCATACTGGGCACTAGACTGCACCCTGTACTGGAGAGAAAATAATGCAATGAAGGACATCTTCGGGCCACCTGACAAAACTGAACTATGAATAATTAGATTAGATTTGAATGGTAGATTAGGTTAGATTAGAACAGTATATTAAAGTATAGTAACAATGTTATGTTTACTGACATTGATAATTGTACTGTGGTTATAGTACAAGAATATTTTTATTCTTAGGAAAAAGACACTGAAGTATTTAGGAGTAAAGGTCCATGGTGTATCTTACCCTCCAATGGGTCTGAAAAAAGTATGTGTGTGTGTG